CGAAATGTTAAAAAACTAAACAGAAATTGAGGAATAACAGTCATATGAACTTGTGGGCAGGTATTTTATTCCCATGCTTGCTGTTTGGAGCTGGCCTAGCCCAACACAATAACAGAAGCAGGTTGGATCTAGACTTTAGCTATTTTGAATCAATAAATCAGGTATTAAATCTGATTGAGCAGATAGATATACCTTATTCCTTGATAAAGTAATTTTTATCATGTAGTCTTTTCCCCAAAACAAAAAATACTTTAGTATTTTTTCAAAGCTCACCTCCACCCACACAACCAATGTAGTATCTTTTAATTATAGTACAATAAAAAGACTTTATTAATAGATTGTAATACATAAATGTTTCATTATATTGCTTTATAGACTATAAGGAAGCCAATACCACCTAATTCTGGCCACAAAATTAAACTAGCTCTTACCAAAAAACAAAAAAGCTTTTAGTAATGTATTAAAATTACAAGTAATTTGGTTTTTTACTGTTAAGTTAGCACACATTCATAATTTTAACTGCAAATATTTCCAGCTTGAAAAATATAAACTATAATTCTATTTTTAAATGTTTTATAATAATTTGCTCAGTATTCTTTTATTTGTATTTCACTAATAAAATACTATGTGTAAAAGATTTAGTCTTGTCTTGAAATGTCAGATGACTTTACTTTGATGTTAATCAAACCAGGGAAAAGGACTGTTGGGTGTACTGTGACACATTTACTTAATCATTTCAATATTTTTTTTAAAATCCAGACCACTTATACACCAGTGTTATTATTATCAGGACAAAAGTGTATTTTAAAATAACTGTGTCTGGATTGAAAATTTGAACAAAACCTCGGTTGAGAGTCTTAAGTACAAACAGGGTAAAGCCTAATAAAGTATTTTAAAAATTATGAGAATTTAATGTTGATTCTGAAACTTCAGTTATGTCTGGAGTCTCATAAATTTAATTATGAAATACACAGAAAACGGAAAATTCACAATAAAGGTTTAAATGTAACCGTATTTGAGTATACAACCCCATTGTTTTCTTTGCACCCCACTCAGATATAACTAACATTTATTGATAGCTTACTATATGTCAAGCACTAGGTTACAGATGTGCATCATTTGTCAACTCTCTCGAGTTGGCACTATAGTGTCCACTTTACACGAGGTCACTAGTACAGATGTTTAACTTGCTCAGAGTCACACAGACCTCGTGGTAGAGTGGGGTTTGAATCTAGAAGGTCTGATTCCAGAGTCCATGCTCTTGACCATTTGGCTGTACCGCATCCGTCTGATTTAGATTATCCGTCAGGCTTCAGCAGTAATCTCAGTTCACTCACCACTTTCTGGCAATATCATCTACCACCACAGCTTCAAGTACTGTCTCTTTGTGTGACTTCCGTCACTAGGATTCCTGCTCTCTTCAGCTTCCTGTTTCAGAGCCATAGATCAGTGGTCTGCTCGACTTTTGCACATGGTGGTCCCCTAAGTACCTTAAAGTCAGCATGTCTAAAATAAAACTTCTCTTTGCCTTTTATGTTCCTGATTCTTACTAACATCCCATTTGAACCACCACGGAATCGTTTTTAATTCTGCCTCACTATTCTGGCAATCATCAAATGCTGTCAGTTGTCACACCTCCATCTCTCTCATTCTTTCCTTCTTTTGTGCTCTCAGTAACACTACCTTACCTCAGGTCTTCAATACCTTGCACATCAACTTTTGAAATAAATTACTAGTCTATCTATCTCTAGGCTCTCTTCTCTCTGAAACAATTTTATAGTGTCTTCAGGGTTACCTTTAAGTTAGAGCTCAAGTTACTTTCGTGTTAAAAGAGCTTGAAAGCACATAAAATAATAAGCACACTCCTTAGCTGGCTAACAGAAGCTCCTGTTATTTAGCTGACTTTGTGCTGACTTCAGTTTGGTCATCAGTTCACTATATGCCTTCACATCGTATACTTGAGTAAACCTTCATACTTTTTAAAACCTCTTTCATCACGGCCTTCTATCAGTTATACACACCTTTGCTTCCTTCCCTTGACTCTGAACTCTGAGGACATCCATGTCTTAAGTCGTCCTCACAGTTTACTCGGGATAAACACTGTTATGCTCAGAAGGGGTGTTTAAGAATTCTTTGTTAGGTGGGTGGCGACTGTGTGTATATACGGGCATGCCTTGTTTTATTGCACTTTGCAGATAACGCATTTATTTATTTATTTTTTAAACAGATTCAAGGCAAGACCCTCCACCAGCAAAAGAGTACTACACACTTCATTGCAGTGGTCTGGAACACAACTCGCAATGTCTTCAAGGTATGTCTGTACAAAACACACAGAAAGAACTTACGCATATGTAAGTACAATCTAAACCAGAACTGCAGAGGTGTGTAAAACAGGAAGTTCTCACATTTGTAAATAATACCTTCAGTCAACACTAGATAAAATATGACATTGCCTTTATCATTTCATTCTCTTGCGTAACACAGCTATAATGAACTTGTTGCTAAGCCCTGAAGTAAAATATTCTCTATACCAAAATGCTCTCCTAAAAACTTTAATGTTACAGTAGTATGTGCAATAATTAATCTAAAATACTGAAATATCTTTAAGTGCTCTCTGATGCAAATGGGAATTAAATAATGTTCTAGCATAATTTTTAGGTTAAACGTATTTTATTTGGTCATCTGTAAAGGTGGTATTATAGCTTTGTTTACCCTAAAATTCATAAAACCAGTATAATCTATCAAATTCCTACAAGAAGGAAATCTGTATCTATGTTATAACAGAGAAACAGAGGCAGTTTCTCTGCTTCAATACCAAAGCATATGTATCAGGGATACTTGGAAAAAGCTTCCTCTTCAAATTGAAAAACCAAATATACTATATTTTGCTTATATACTTTATATTCTGAATGAACCTTGTTTTTGTGCTTTAAGTTTATATGCAGGTAAATAATTACTATGTACAGATTTACAAAGTGCTAGGTAAGTGATATACCCCTAAATTAGCAACAAAAAGATATAAATGTTTTATAAACATAAAACAGTTTATAATAAATTAAAATCACTATTATGCCTTTCAAATAAAAGTATCTTTACCCATTACTCTTCAATAAGTATTGCTCTCAGCATGTGAGTTTTAAGTGACAGTGGTAGCCTGTTAAAGAAATAAAACTATTTCTCACATTCTATTTAGTTTGCGATTCATAGCTATTTGAAAATAAATTTCTTCATGTTAAGCAAGCTTACCAGTGTCGTTAGGAACATTAAATATCAACATTAAATTTCTTTCCTTCCATGCTTTCTATCCTTCCTATCTCCCCACCTCTACAAAAAGCAAAACCAAAAAAGACCTCTGGCTTTAGTTATATGGATGAAAAATATGCCTTGAAACACTAAAATCCCAAAGGCAAGCTTTATTAGCACAGTACTAGTGACAAACTACAGGGAAACGACATAAAATCATTGGAGGTTAAATGGCCTGGCCTTAAAGTTCTGCTCTAGATAATAAAATACACACAGACAATAGTAATAAAATGCACATAACAACACAATGGAGCCAAGTGAAAATATAACAGTTCCTATTCCCTTTCCCCTTCGTATTATAACTCTTTTCCGTTTGGGGGCAGGGGAGCGGGTCGGGCCCAGAAGCTGCTCAGTTGTGCTTGTCTGGAGGACAGAGCTTGAGAGGCGAGGCCTAACTGGAAGCATATATATACTCTGGGCCCCTCAGGTCCCACTTGAGCATGTGCAGTGGGACATCTCCGCCCTGGGAAGGGGAAAATGTGGAGACAGAGCAAGGCTTGCTGTTGCCAGCTGTGTCTACAAGAATAAAAAATGCATCAGGATTCTCTCTACAGGCATTCTGTGGGCCCGTAATAATCCAAGCCCTTCTTCTAGGTAGAATTGGCTTACCATGCTTTAATAACTATTCTAATAAAAATGCTATTTATATGGTAAAACAAAATTGTTTAAGCAGCACGATGAGATTAGAAGGGCATGTTCTCTAAGAATTATAAGCAATTAAAAGCAATTACAAGTAAATAGTCATTAAAGGCAAAAAAAGCCCTCAATATTACATTAAACTAATGAGCTAGAAAAAACACAATTCAGAGACGTCAACAAAGTAAAGAATAAAAAAGAAAAACCATTAAATTATAGTAAAAGTTTATTGTATTTAAAAGCATCTACGGACTATTATATATAATTCTTTAATAATGTTGCCAAGCATAAAACTTGAAATTAGGGTGTTAAAGACAGAAATAATTTTAGGATATATACGGTGAAACTTTTTAGGTAACATATGGTATATTGCAATAAAATTTAATATCTTACAAGCTTTAAAAAAATCATATTTTAACTACTATTGCATCTGTTTGATTATAGCCTCTCTTCAATGTTCAACCACAATATGTTGTCAATTAAAAATCACATTTACATCATAAATTTTATTTTTTATTGTATAATCTGAAGCTTATAACCTTTATAATAAGTAAATTTATATAATATTCAAAGTAAGTCATATTTTGATTTAATTATAAAAGGGCTGAACTGCACATAGTAACCTCATAAAAGTGTGAGTAAAAATCTGCACACTCTATTCTCACCATAACATTAGCAACATACCTCTAACAAGTACACTATTACCTCTTTGAAAGGTAAAAGAAAAGTAATCAAAAATTTAGCCGCACAATTCTTACTATGTAGAGCTGATTCCACCTTTCAAAAATTATACTAACCCATCCACATCCCTACTAGAAATAAAAAAAGGTAACCAACATAAATTAATTCTATAATGTTAGTAGCACTGTCATTAAAAATGCAAAACAAACAAACAAACAAAATGGATGGAGAGTAATACTTCCAAGAAAATTAAATTCACAGTTACCTGCGGATTTCATTTCTTGGACTATTAGTACAAATCGATAAAAGCTAAACTTTGTTACCAAGTTGAAACGTTGGCAAAAAATGTCAACTCTTAAAGACAATCCATTAACACCCACCTGGCTATCTCTTCCCGATGGGCAGTCCAATCTCGGATGTAGTCTTCCTGTTCTTTGATCCGGTGCTTGAACGAAGAACTAGTAGGCATTGCTGACCCAGAGCTCTGCAATCGAGTCGTTTTCAGGGCTGGAGAAGTACGTAGACGGGTATGTTTAGGGGAATTACGGTTTGATCCAAATTCATCTTCTGAGGTGGAAGCATAATCAGTAGGAAAGCGCCTCCATCTTGAATTTACTAAATTAGTTTAATTATTAAAAAAAGAATTATTATGTTATCTTTTAAAGGAGATAAAGTAAAAATCATGATTTCAAAAACACCATGAGAGCACACACAGCACAATTTTCAAGAACTGACATACACATACCTCACAAAAAGCATAAGTCTACTACTCCTTAAAGATAGAAACATTACACTTTGGTGAATTAAAAACAATGAATAATTCAAAATAATTGAAAGACCATGTTTTTGGTAGTATGAATAAACATTCAGATGAAAAATTCACTAATGGTAAACAACTAAGCAAGCTCTATTTATATGTTTAACTCGTACTTTTTAATTGCAAATATTTCTCACTTGAGTGAAGATATGGATTTTTTAAAAAAATGACAGCAACAATAACACCAAAAATAAAGAATAAGGGAAAAGATTTCTTCATGCCACATGGACTTTCAACATGGAGATGGTAAAATAGAAAAACCCTCTTTTCCCAACATACAAATGTGCATAATTCCTACTGTGGAAATTATGCCTTTATGGCAGAAAAAAAACATTACCTCTGTCATTCAACATCCTGTTATGCTATGATTGGAAAAAATCTTTTTACATGATAAAAACACAACAAAGCATCTTCAGTACAACTGCTGCTTTGACACTGAAAGCATATGGTGAAAATAGACAATGGCATAAAACTTACAAAGAGCCAAACTCTACAACCTTTTCTCACAGCCAACGACATTTCAGGCACAGGAGGTATTGCGAATAGTCACATTAAAGAAAGTGGCAATCACTTTCTTATTTAAGATTAGTAAAGACATTTAAAAGATGGTGTTTTAGATACATGTGAAAAATCAGAAGACAAATTAATGCAGACACTTTACTACTGCAAATATAAGAGTCAAACACACAAATAATTTGTGAAGCATAGAGGTTAAAAAACAGGGAGAGAATGCCTAATTTACGGTAAACTCCAGGAGAGCAGGAACCAGGCCTGTTTAATCCACTAATGTATAGCTAGCACTAGGCAGAGTCTGGTTAGCAAATGTTTAATATTTTTGAATAAATGAATGAATTCCTGGATACTGAACATGTGCTTTTCTCAAAATAGAAAAAAAACTTGTAAAAAGCATGAGATTTTTTTTGGTTAAAATAACAAAGTTTTAGCACCTGCTGTAAGTTCTAACTGCTATTAATGTAAGTAGAGTTTTTCTCTTTTTCTGTCTCTCTCTTTTTAAAACCAGAAACTGACCTTAGGCTGCATAGGGTAGGGAAGTCTCGAATTCCCTCATCCTATTCCCCTCGAATTTTACACCTTTCATGTCTTTTCTTCTCCACACTACATCTTTGTGTGGGGCTATGTAAGGGTGAGTTGGCTCTGAGATAAAATTGGTATCTGAGCTGGGTCTCAGATAAAACAGAGAAATCCATCATCAGAAATGTGCCATAAATCACAGCCTACCCAACTGTCCTGATTCACACTCCTACTTGAAGCTCCAGGAGCTTGGAACTATATTCATGTGTATGAGAGCATGCAGAGATGCAGAAATCTCATGGCTTTCTGTAAAAGTGTATGCAAATACATATACACAACCCAAGGTAATTTATTACAGTTTGTTTTGAAGGGGGATTAAATATAATTTTTGACTTTAACATTATACGATAACATATCATTAACGTAAATAACACTTTTACCATGGTGGAAAAATGTACTTCTTTCTAGACATTTGAAAACTCCCATTAGTTGAACTGACCCTGAGACCTGAAAACATTTTAGGAAAAGTTTAGGAACAAGAGCAGGAGGTTTTAGAAAAAAATTTAGAAATATAGCAAACCAAATCAGAAATACGTCAAAACAAATTTGTACTTTTCAATACAGGCATTTCATTTAATGCGAAATGTTTACTGCGGTACCTTAGAATATTATTTATAAAAGGAAATTCATCAATAAGAAAAAGATCATTGTTAGGTTAAATTTCCTGATTTTTAATTTGGAAACCATGGTAACCATACCTATTAATGAAAATTGTTTGGAAGAGAACACAATACCAATAACAGAAGATATGACACCATAAGTAGGGATGATGGAACTAAGGTAGGTAATTTAGAAAGAATGGTATCAATAGCTGACACAGATAATGAGTGACAGAGAGCATGAAAGCAAAATGAGAAATTGAGAACCAAGTGCTATTAAATGTTAAATGTCAGGTGACAATATACAAGTAGAATCATATTAGAATTAACTTTGAGTAGTGAGTCACAAGATCAGAAAATTGTTGAGAAATTTTAGAGGAAAAAAAAAAATTCAAAATAAATTCGTAAACCTTTCCATCTACTTTTATAGGTCTATCTAAAAAGTCACTAAGAATAGTGACGCTTCTAATAATATCTTTAAAAAAGAAAAGCAACCCAAAGAATAAAGCATATTTTAAAAACAAAAAGGTAACATTTCTAGGTTTGTTCTCTTAAAATTGAGGGCAGAATGAGAGATAAAGTAGGGTACAGCAGAGAAAGGAAAATACGATTAATCTTCAAATAATTAAGGGTTATCTTTACCAATGGAAAACATATCAGACACAGTGCATGCACCGTGAAGGAAGCAAAGCTCAAGTTAACCTCTGGACACCACTTAGCTTCTGTGACAGCAAGAAGAAGAGCTAAAAATGGAGTGAGATGACTTGGTGGAAAAGGGCCTGGGAAACGTAGTTTAATGCCTGGACCCCTAGCCTGTTATTTCTCAAACAAATTTTAATACCATTTGTTTTCTTAATCTTTGCTTCCAAACCATAACAAGCTACGCATTTTATCTGAAGAGAAATCTCTACAATCTGCCAGTTACTGCACAAGAAACTTCAACTTGGAATGTTTGTGACTTTTCCCAATGCCTACTTATTAAATAGAATTTTAGAACAGAATGACCATAGACATTAGATAGTCTAAATTCTTTCATTTACAGAGAAGAAACAGGCCCAGAGTGGTCTTGCGTTGTTTAAGTCAAAGTTTAAGCCAGGTCTACAGACTCACAGAGTTCAAAACTCATTCCTTGCAATTCCAACTGCTTTATGAGTAAATGTCAGAAAATCTATATATTTTTTCACATTTCCAGTTAGATCAGTTTTTTTAAAAATGACATCCTCAATTTCTCATGGAATGATAAGATTTTCTGATTTCTACCTGTGTTGAAAAAAAATGTTACTTCTTCCTCTTGAATTTTATTCTGTTTAGGTAAAGTCACTTACAGAATAAAATTTAATTTTATATCATTAGTCTTATTTGATATGTTGGCACGACTAAGGCATTTCAGATAAATCTTTAAATGAAAAATACGTAATGAAGGCTTTTGAAATGCCAATCTCTAAGAGGTTTCTTGTTTGGTGTAATGCTGGATAACATATATAATACAATGAGAGAAAGTTCTAAGATGGTTTTAATTGATTTCATAGCCAACTTGAAAATTATTTCAGTTGCAGTAATTATAAACTTAGGTTAGTTATAAAATTATGCAACACTCCCTCTTGTGGAATAAACTATATTCACTATAAAAATATAACATAATGTTTAGAGAATTAAAAAAGGGAAAAAGAGTTATTAGGATATCTGTGAATGCTCTGATTTCTTTTACTCTTATCAAAACTTTGTTGGCTTTAAAACACATTCACATTTACAGATGTAAGAAAAGCACTTCAGACTACAAACACTGCATCTTCATACTTTATATAAGAATATTTTTATGGGAAATTAAGCCACGGACACATTTTACATGTATATTTATGAACACGTAGCAATAAGATCACTTGGGGAAAATCCCTGACAATGCTCTATAGTGGTCTTTATCTGGAGGAAGAAATAACTCAAGCCATGAATGACCATTTCATTCCTACCATCTATAAATTTTGAGGACTGAAATAAAAAGGGAAAGCAAACAGTCTTAAAAAATTCTAAGGATGTTAATGTAATGTTTTTATTTATTAGAATGTGCACTTGAAACATAATGAAAACCAATGGCTCTATTTAGATAATTTGGGGTACTTAGTTTAACATATAGCTTACTAAAATAGATCTGGGTATTTCAATATAAGTTGATACTGAATGATCATTGAAGGCATTTGTGGGGAAAACTAAACTAAAAGCAAAATACATCAGAATTAAAGAAGCATTAAAGAAGCTTTCCTCTTAATTTTGCTAAATCAGAGATTTCTGTTCTTTTGTTTTTATCATATACATTTCTTTGAAAAATTTTTCTAGGCATAGCCTAAAATATGAAGTTTGAAATACTACAGAATCATTTTTACATATGCCAATTTAGACAATAGCACAGGCTCTAGGTTCAGAATTTTCAAAGATCTTTAAAGTTTATAGTGTGCATAGCAACACAGATCAGTATGGTTTTCACATCCTTTTAAATCATTTTTCAAAAGCTAAGAATTTTATTTTCTTTTTCCATGGAAGATGTTATAATTATCTTAAGTGGAAATATAATATCAAAGGTACCTCAATTAGCAAAATTAAAAAAGTATGTTTGTTTTTTTTACTACGTACCCCATGTAATTATTTTAATGTTACCACTGATTGAAAGATCCTGGCCATTGTCTTTCTAGGTAAGATGTAATACTGTAAATGGGCATCTTGAGGGAATCTCAATATTCAATCCTGGGCCACAATGTTTTTATGCTCATACGGAGGAATAGAGAACAAAAACTTGGTGAAACATCAGAATTATGAAGAGTATAGCGAGTAATACTAAAACCTTTATATTGTATACTGGCCTTGTATATATTCCTCACAATATCCAGTAGAGTCTAGTTGTCCCCTAGTGACTTGCTTACAAGGAGACACAGACTGTTTCTCAGGGCTAGACTAGATGTGCTAGAAAAACCAACAGTTTGGAACTTAAAAGCGTTGGATTGTCATCCTGTCCTGGCCAGAGCTATGTGACCAGGGCAGGTTATTTCATCTCTTAGCCTTAGCTCCCTAAACTGAATAACCCTTCTAGCTGTTAAATTCCATGATTTTAATTATTTAATATACTGCTATTAAGCATGAAGAAAGCTAAAATTACGTACTTCAATTTGCCCTGGAGACTTTCATTAAACAATTCAAGGTACTTTCTGGACATAGAAAACTGCATACTTATCAAGGTCTGTATTCAAAGAAGCAAAACACAAAACATCTTTAAAGATGTGTATACAATATGGCATCTTAGAGCTGTTTCCTAGACTTTCTGAAGTTACCACGTTTGGTTCGCATCTCAAGGAAGCCCCTCGTTACACACTGAGGAAGGACACCAGATCACTCGTGTTTAGAGCTAGCTGATGACTGCAGGAGGAGGAGTTGTTCCAGGCAACTTGGTGACATACAACCCATGTTATAGCCTATGCTAAGACAGGAGAATACATGTCTACGTACTAGCGATGAGGTGATGAAACAAACAACATGACAGAAGAAATGTCATCAGAGCAGACCACAGGATGCAGCACAAAGGAACTGTGAATTCAAGAGGTAGAGCCATAAGGAACAACAGAAAAACACCGAGTAAACACAAACCAAAAGACAGCAGTTAGGTTCAAAATACTTGGTAATAAATCTATGAACCATCAATTAAAGCTTGAAGTGTAGAAACAAGGATGGGGGAAATAAGGAAAATGCTATTGATTTTCTTTTTGAATCATGATTATATGGTATCTACCTTCAGCCTACATGCATTCTACCACAGGTCTGACCATCATCACCACATCCACTGACCAGGAGAGACGGAAATGTGAACAGAGTGGAGGAATAGAGGGAAGAGAGGAACACACAAAGTACTCTAGTTTTGGGTCTTATAGGCTATATTGTGGCAGATGTAAAAAGAAAAAGATAAGATTGCATACCAACTTTCCTTTTCACTCTTAACTCAGGACTTGGGGTCCACTGAGATGCTTGCTGACTGAGGATTATAAATCTTCAAGTCTTTTAACAGCTGGCTCTCCCCGCCACCCCCCCCCCGACCTTTTCAGTCACACCCATATATGAGGCTGATGATTATGAAGTAATGAGACCATGTTTACAGGCTATACACAGATATCTGTCTCAGTCCTCTTGGGTAACACATATATCCTCACTGGCTTCAGCTCTGAATATAAAGTATATAAATAGACAAATATGCCAGAAGCAATTAAATTATGGTGGGGAATAAATAGCTTTTATAAAGAATACATTCAATGACAGCTAATTCCCATAGTAAGATGATAAAACAGTGCTTTATGAGATGATGCTCATAACCAGTGACATTTCTATAGCTCAGTTGGGCCCATATGTGCTTGGTGATTATCTCATGAATCCATTGTCCACTGAAATAAATTAAGAATTAGTTTCACCTGCCCCAACCATAAAGAGATGTAACTTTTAAAAGTATTAGTAAGGTATATGAGACATTTCAAAATAAAAAAAAGGGTAAATTATTTCATTTAGCTCTGACCTGAGTAATAAAGGGTATGTACACTGCTTTTCTTCAGGGTCATAAGGGCTTTGAATTAGGTGAGGATATTGAAAAGTTAAACACATGCTTTTAGAAGCACAATGTTAATTCCTATTATTTAAATCAGATAACAATTCCTAATCTAATTTTGACATACAAATCCAGATTATCTCACCAATAGATAATTTAAACTCCTAGTCAGTTCAATATACCTCGAATTTTCAAATCACTATTTTGCTCTAGGACATTAACTGGAAGTGTATATAACTTCTGCATTTTCTATTTACTAAATATTATTTAAATAAATATTTAGCTAAATAAAAAAAAATTTATAGGAAAAAACCCCTCTCTATAATAACCTTTCTGTTGAGTATTTTGGGAAACAAACACTGGAGATTGAATTTTTTAAAAAAGGAGTCCCAAAACATCAAATAAATAAGCTAATATTATAAAAAGTCAGGACCCAATTTACCTGAAGGAGAGCCATGTGCTGAGGTCATGCTTTTGACCTTGGAGTCTGAGAGTCGAGAGATGCTGTTAGCTCTGATTCTAGGAGAAAACTTATCTGAAGGAACTAATCGGGCTCCACTTCTAATGATGGCTTCCGCGGTCCGTGAAGAGGCACTACTTCTAGAGATGGTTGCTTCAGAGTCACTGCGAGCTGACAAGGAGCCAAGCCTCGTTCTGCGAGGCTGAGCCAATAAATCAATCCTAGAGATGTTCCGCCTGCCTGTGGGAGGTTTCGATGTTGAACTTGTTGTGGACACTTCAGAAGCAACGGATGCTTTGTCGGCATCGGCAAGTTCACTGTCTGAAGCTTCACCAAGGCGTGCTCTGCGCAACAGGGAAGTCCTGGTAGGTCGTGGCCTTGGAAGAGTGGTGGATTTGCTGGACGAACCAGGCACAGTGGGCGAGGTCTTGGATTTAGTGACCTTACTTCCTTCCAGTTTGGAATGTGCATGCTCGTCGGTTGAGGTAAGCGGAGTCCTTCCATGAGGTTTACAAGAGTACGTTTCCTGATCCGATGACATGATATCTGAGATGGCAGAATGAGGTACGCTAGAGGTTTGGTCGTCGTCTGTTAAATCTACCGAAGGCTGTCTTATTCTTCCACTGGATTGTACAAATTTACGACCCTCTGCTCTTGAGCCTACGTCGGTGGACCGGCTTTTTGTTTTCTTTTCAATTTTCTCCCTAGCACCGGAAGATGATGATTTTGTCACATCTTTGGAAGGAGAACCTGTGGAACACCTATCTTTATAGAGGCTAGTGAAACTCTTTCGCTTTTGGGTTGACTTCCTTTCAGTCTCGCCGGTAACCAGACTGATTGTACTAGCTGTGTCCACATCAGATTCCGGGGAGATGGAGTTGTCTCTGTTATAACTGGGAGTGTCTGGGCCGTCATCGGTTTTATTGTCTTCACGCAGTTTAGCTTCGAGAAACGCCATGACTGCTTCTGTATCTTTTAGAATAAGGGTTGTGTCCATGCTGGAATCAGTATCCATGGAGTCGCTTCTTTCTCGTATTCTGCTGGCCGATGTTAATGCTAAAGATGGCGGTGTAGACGAAGTCTGTTTATTTATATGGGGGATAAGCTCTATGGGGATGTTTGGGGTAGGTTTCTCTATAGTGAAGCTTCCTTGTCGCACTAATGGCTTGGAGGATTCCTTCTTGTCTCCCCCCTTTGAAGTGTGACTTTTTAGAATTTCCTCAGCTTTTCTTCGCTTGCCCTCATTTTGTATTGCCCTGTCTCCTTTGCTTGCAGAATGTCCTGGAATTCTGTCTTGAGGTTGTGACTCTTGTTTAAAAGACTCCTCCCTACACCTCTCTATCTGACCTGCAAGATTTTTGGAAGATAATTTAGTAGATGTCCACTGGGCCTGATCCTTTGGTTCCTGTTGCTGAAGTTTAGCTAAGGTTTGCTTTACCAAAGAAGCTTCCTTATCAGTTTCACTTTTCTCCTTTCCAGACAAAGCGCTGCCTAAGTGCAGCAGAGTCTTAGTATCTCCACCAGTTTTAAGAGTCTCCCCATTTACTGCGCGGTTCACTATGTTCCGGGCCCTGTCGGTGTCTTGTTTATCCTTCTGGTATACCTGTGTAGGGGCTTCTTTCTCCTGAAGCTCTGTGTCTTGTTTTTCTCCTATCTCTGACCTCTGTGTCATAACCTTTCCTCTGCAGCTCTCCAAAGACTTTTCTTCATTTGGAAGCTGGGGAAGGGTTCGTCTCCTTCTCTCTCCCTGACTAGCCAATGAAGTTAATGAGCCAGTGCTTCTCATTGAAATGCCCGATTCACTGATATCTGTATCTATAAAGTAAAACCACACAGAAAGAATTTATTAGGGCAAAAAAATAAAGAGAATATCATATTACGTTTGATTTTGAAGTGTAAGTTAAGAAATGGCTTAAGTATAAAATAAAACTTTGAATAAATAAGCCAGCATAGTGACAGAGTAGTTTAAAAAGCAAGTACAATGCCAAGTGCACAAATGGGCAGATTACTGATAGGGCAGTCAGGAATGCAAATAGTACGAGGTGAAAATCAGGGTCATCTGATCTGAAACCTATGTCCGCAGCTCCCTTTTCGTTTTAACGTGTTCATTGTGTTCATTCTTGCTTCTGTGACTTATCCCATCCTCTTTTAAGTTTTGCTCAAGGCAACAGACTCTAACTAGTGCATTATAGAATTGCACAGAGAATGCCTAATAAACACTGTTTATTTGCTATAGTTTCAATAACATAGTAAAGATGAATATACCTACTTTTTAATGAGTTATTATCTACCTGAAAGAACAAGTTGTATTTCCTAAGTAAAATAGAAAATACAGGAGTTGAACAAGGCTTTCGAAAAATCAAATTCAAAGCTGATCAAAATAATTTTTTAAAATATAAGTATGAAAAAAGGTGATAGCATTTGTCATAATTTTACAAATGGGGGATTTTAAGTTACGGTTGTCTGAGATACTAAGGCCTCCTATAGAAATACAAGGTCACTTTCCCTTTTTCAAGTAAACAGACACCAGTCAGGAAATACATACTTTGATGCTTTTATATGAGAGAATTTGAAAATACTTAAGGAGTAGTTTCCTGAATAAATGGAATGTGTTTCTGAAAAAAGGGATACATATTTTCGGAGAAACATATATTAACATATAAAGCATCTTAATCTTTAAAGCATCATTTTGGGGTGCTACAAGTCAGAGACAAAATAAATTTCCATTTCTAATGATAACAAAATTAAGAATACAGATAAAAAGCCATATGTAAGTTCTGCTTGAGGGTTTTATTTTTAATTAAGAATGTAATTAACTGAATCTAATAATATCATTAGAGGCATATAATTTTTTTAAGAAGCTATTTCAGTTCAGAGAAATAATTTAAAGTTAATAAAAATCACGTTACATAGATTTGCAAAAGATGTATCAAGTAATATCTTTTTTTATTGAATGTATGGTATAAAGTTTGAATATTTTTTGTATTAATGAATGGGATAATTTGGAATTGTGTTAGTCTTCTTTTTAGATATTATGTTATATAAATTTGTGTATATTATGTGCTTCATCTATAAATCATTTTTATCATCAGTTAATTTTAATGATATCTGCATTAGTGAAAATAAAATTACATTCACATATTCACAAGAGAATATGTGAATATGTTTATTAAGGTTTAATTTACTTCTCACTATATAGATTTTTTTTTTAAAAACTGATGTATGATTCACACAGACACACACAAAAGAAAATACCATTCTCTAAAGAAACAGGTACAGACAATTCCATTATCCTTTCTTCTTGATCATGCCTTGTATGATTAGCAGCCAAACTAGCCCATTGTGAAACCCAACGCTTGCTTCCAGATGAAGATGTGCCTTCCTAAAGGAAAAATATAAGAGAAAATAATATAGTCTGGTTAAATCCAATTCTCATAAAAGAGAATTCCATTTAGTCACATTATCCTGTCATACAAAGCAATATTTAAACCTCATATGGTTTATCATCATTTATTAAATTTCCTCATATAAATTGAAGATTCTCTAGGTACCCCTTATCACTACATATTATTATTACTATAAATGTATTATAATTTTCTCAACTTAGTAATGACTAACAATGGTGCTAAAATAAACCCTTGCAACATAAAATTTACTGCTGCTAAATAAACTTGGGTGTATTATCATAGCTTTGTGGTGACAATAGTTCAGTTAGTTCTACTCTATTCTATTGCACAAGGAGTCTAAAGGTCTATTCCTAAGTTGTTTTCTAGCCCTCTAAGAGATGTTTCTAGGAATCAGCTTGGTCCAAGAGTCTCAAGGCGTATGAAATCTGCCAGGTCATGTCTTCAGGGATTTAAAAAACAAACCCAAAGCTTGACACTTCTTTCTATAACACTTCAATATTTTCAGAAAGACCTGGAAATCATTACCTTTAAGACTTTTTCTATAACCAGCTTGAACCTAGACCTACTCAAGTCTAGATCTGTCCTTAAGGCAAGTGCTCTTTGAACGCTTAGAGTCAAGTGTGAAATAGAATTTAATTCATTTTATGGTTCCATAGACTTAGGGGCATATAATGGTAAATTCTTAAGACCAGAGCCATCTAGGCATTTAAAACAGAAAAGCTGGGGGGTATAGAAAAAATCACTTCCCCACTAAAAATCTAAGCCAAGGCTTAATATTGAAACTGGAATGACAACTAAGGAATAGAAAGCTATGACCTAAAATTTATTTTGAATTATTCAAAACAATATTTTATTAAAAGTATCAGATTTATTATATTAATGATGACCGGCTAGAAACTAATGAAGTAAATACTTCATACAGACCATATACTATATGATTTCAAGAATAATAGGTTAAAATAATAACTATACATAATGACATACATACATACAATGAAGCCAAAGAATACCAAAGCCTACTGAATCCTTGAATTCTCTTTGAAGATTCTGTGGTAACTGCCCACAGTTCTGAGTACAGAAGGGAGTACCACCACATCATTGGCACCATGCTAGGAATACCCACAATAGAGTGGGTTTCACTGGCAAACACTTATGTAGAACCAGTCTGGGAAATTGTTCTACTGGCCTGTTTATAGGTGACTCCTTCAAAGGCAGGTACATACTGGGGCTATATATAAGTTTTCCTTGGCATGGGTTGAGGGGATCAAGAGGAGAAGAGGGAGTCTATTTAAGTTCACATTCACCAGAGCCCTTCCTAGATTAATCAGGATACCAAATCATTGCCTCAAATAAGTATCACTTGCTTCTGATAAGCAAATTCAGCATATTATGAAAGAGAATCCAGAATAAAAATTCTCTAAGACCAAGATGGAAATAAGAATACTAAAATACAATAATTGTTTTGACAGTTTTCAGGAAATGAATGACCAAGAAAGGGACAATTTTAACATACAGGTATATTTACCTGTCTATAAAAAATATTTTATTTACATTTCTTACAAATGTATCACTTTATTTATATTTTGTTTTATTTATATCTTAAGGTTTTATTTATATTTTATATTTATTTACCATTTGTATATTTTAAATTCACTCAATTCCTGAGAGGCAGTACAGAATAATGAACAAGAGAAGGAGTTAACAAGGCTGCTTAAGGTTCAAACTCTGGCTCCACAAGGTACTAATTGCAAGGCCTTGGCCAAGTTAATTAATACACTCAGTTTCCTTCTTTGTAAAATAGTACACAGAAAGCTTCCGTTGAATATTCTTATTATCTGACTAAATTATAATTAATACATGAGTTACATGCATACTTTAGATTTTGACACATCACTGTGGAATGAAATTCTAAGATCATTTCCGATAAGGGAATAAACATTTGTTAAATGCATAAATCTCAGACAATTACTATGCTATTTTATTTATTTATTTTTAATTAATTAATTTTTTTTTTTTTAGCTGAGCCATCCTGCCACCTGTTGGCAGCTCAGTGGCAGCTCAGCTCAGACCAGGAATCAAACCGCTGTTGCTCAGAGCTCACACTCTTGAGTGAGCTCTTAACCAACTGAGCTACTCAGCCGGCCCAATATGCTGTTTTCTATAGCTCATAACTCCCTGTAAATAGGTTTTATCTAAATTACCATTTGGAGAGATGAGAAAAACTGAGCTTAGAAGAAGGAATATGACTGAGTCACAGGCACTCTGTTAGATGTGACAGTTCTGGGACTGGTCTTCCTAGCTCTGCCATGCCACACTGACTGGCTAACTATCTTAACCAAACCATCCTTGATTAATTCAGTGATTCTGATTACATCCTCAGCTATACTGCCGAGGTTTACAAGTTGTATCCATCAGGAACCACCTTGCACGTTTCCTGGCATGATAGATCTTTCTAAATATATGATCTCCTAGGAAGTAGAAGCAGCGTATAGTTTTTGTGTTATCTCATAATGCCAATTAGAGCAGTGAGCATACAGTTCATTAATTACTTACTGAAGTTACCATTTTCCCTCACTGACCAAAAAATGTTAGTTGAAAATTTAACAAAAAAGCTGAAATGGAATTACTGCAAAAATTGCTTTAGGCTTTCATTAGGAACAAATAATTTGGGAGAATTTAGATTTTGGAAGGATTATACAAGCAGACATATCAACTTAATATAATTACAAATGATAAAAATTTACATTTTATGCATGTAAAAAGTTATGAGGAAGAGATGTATACCTCTGAGTTGTGAAACCCAGGTGTACTGAGTGGCTTTCTTTCTTCCATTACTACTGCGGCAGAACTGAGAGCCCAATCTTTTATCAGATCTTTATGTTTTTCATTGATAATAGGCCTATTATAATCCTGATTGTCATCTACTCCAAACACCTAGGAGGAGAAAATGATTTTATACATGAAAAGCCAGATTAATATGTGAATATTTCAGTAACTTCAAAGGCAAAGAAAGATATTCGAAATTACTTTCAATAGGTCATTTCAATAATGAGAGGAAACTTGTGTAAAGACAAGGTAACATCCAAATGGAATGCTTGCTGGAGAGGAGAACGGGGCAGTGGCAGCTTCTGTAAATATAACTATCTCTTTTTAATACTTAGCAATGAATTGTTTAATAAATAAGAACTATTCAGGATATTACATTTCATTTGTTAAAAGATGTTGTCAAAAACTGTAGTAAAGCAGAGTTTAAAAAGTACCACTTCAGCTCGTTTCTAGATTGTCTGTTTTATTATTTTTGAGAAGCATGTTGTAAAACTATAAACATATGACTGATTTTATGTGTTCTTTCTCTAACAAATGTACTTTCACATGAGTTAAATTTATACACATAATTTTCTAAGTTCCCAAGTAACAGATTTTATTGTATGATCTTTGTACAGGGTATAGCAAAATTCTTAAACTAAATTCTTAAACTAAAAATCACTCAAAAGCCTTTTTTTGAAATGCAGATTTCTGGGTCTACTCGCACAGATCAGCATTTTAAATAAGCAGACTCTCCACGGTGCAACACTTTTGAAATATTCTAAATACAGAGACCAACAATCGTGTGCTTTTAAGGGCAGGGCCTGAGTCCTTCTCATTTTCTGGCTCATAATAGGCCCTAATTTTGCTGAAGAGACTGGAGAAAGGTTAAAACTACACCAACTTTAACATTCCAGAGTCTCTACTGTGTTCCCAATGCTTAGTATCTACAGGTATCAGTTGTGGCTCTAATTATTATTACGATCAAGAAAAATAGTCTTTGGTTGAACTAGCACTTTGTAGCAGGGAGCTTTAGAACATAGACAAAGAGATTTCATTTTCTATGAAAAGGGAAAAATATCTTTGTTTAAAGTACTGTATAGAAAAATTTTTAATGATCATACATCTAGCTGATAAATTCTGATGCCCACATTTATAGTAAGGCAGATAGCAGATTTTCAAAATAACGGAAACTTAGGAATTTTACCACTAGATGGCCTTATTACTTAACATTTAATTCAAACAGAACTAGTTTTCAAGAATTACGATTTAATAGTCTGTTGAACCACTCACTCAGTATTTGAATTATTTTTGCTTTAAGAGCAAAGTGTATATTATTAACTTGAAATCAAATATGAATTTTAATGATACATAAAATACAGTGTTCTGAAGGGGGAAAAAAACTGCTTCATTGTGCTAAACATTAGAATTAGTAAGTTTAACAAGAAAAAGCAATAAAAAATACTAAGTGTTGTTTTCTATGTGCTCTGCCTTTAACCCCGCTTGTACAGAAGGCAATTTAGAGCCACTTAAGTTATTTGTGACTGTCTTAAAACAAATTTTTAAAGTTTTCTAGCTCAAGTCATTGAATTCCACATTTCCTGAAGTTTATCACATTTTTAGAATTACTACTAGAAAAAAATATCTAACTCAAGTTTGGAAGGAAAAAAATAGAAACAACCATATGCGATGGTTACTTGCACGTTGTAACTCTTTGGCATGCTAATTTACAAATTACCTTAAGTGATTTTCTGATTTAGTGATATTTAATTCTAATCCATACTCAGAATGGACTTCCAAACCTTGATTTCTGCAAACATCTAAACACCAGCTGTTTCAAATCAAATATATTAAATCTCTCCAAATCACTTTTGACACTATTTAGAAATGATAACAAAGGAGATACACACACACAAAGAAGTAATGTTTTTAGGGAAGGAGAGCTGAAGTTGTACAGAAAGAATCCTCAGATGACGTTCTACAGATTCCTTTTAAAGCGTTACAGATAGCTATACATACATCGGTCAGAGAAGTAACAATTACTTATTGCCCAAACAAGAAAGCCTGCAGTACCACTGCATGGGGAAAGAAGCCTTCAAAGTTCATTCCTGTATTTTTTTATAGTGTTTTGGAAAATTAATGACAGCAATGACTAGCCCAGCTTGAAATCCGTATCATCATGTTTGTGTCTGGGTACAAAAACATCCATTTGTGACAACTTTCACAGGAAAACAAAGAGGGCATAAAGAGCTTATACTGTCTATACACTTTAAAAGTATTCCCCTTTTCACATTGAAAAAAGTACATACCATCTGACATACAACCTAACAGTTGGACAGGACTTGAGAGCTGCTCAAAGCCTAGACCAAGTTTGCTAGATTTTCTCATCTTTTCATTCTGGATTTTGTCCCTAGGTGACTTCACCCACCTTCAAGGCTTCACTTCAATTTCCAACTAGAGACCGCTGCTTACCCATCTGGCATCTCTCCTCCTAGAGGGCTCAAAGGCATTTCAAATGCAGTCTGTGAACCCAGGCGCATGATTCTCTGCTCTTTCCCACTCTGACTGGCCTCAATCAAACCCCCAACTCCATATAGCACAAAATCTGGGTTTTTGTTCAGCTAGGGACTTGTTTAGACCAGAAGTCTAGAGTGGGGAAGAGAGTGAAATCAGATATCTATCTAATTTTTATGCTTCATCTCTAATAGAACCCTCTGCCCCAAGTGTGTGAGTCAGTTTCTAATTTGTCCAGGTGGGGGTAAAAGGAAGGGGTGGTACAGGAGTAGAAAATTCCATTTTGAACTTGCACCATCTCAACTCTCTGAGCCTGGCAGATGTTTAAAGATAACTGACTCATTTATCTTAGGAGTAGGGAGTGGCTTTCCTGTGCTTGCCTCTATAGCTCACTTGATCCAGGTGAACTCATCTCTATTTTGGGTGACCTGTGACCCCTACCATGGCTCTGACTTTAGGGTAAGAAGATAGCATCTCCTTCACTATCCCACTCCAAGAATCACGGAACATGTTCCTCAGTCTTTTCCTCTGAATGTGTGTCTATCACATTTGGCATCTCACTTTGGAATTTCGATTCTACTATCTCGGTGGTTACTCTAAACAATTTTAACAACCTGTTCCTCAGTTATGGTACTTAACTATTTGTAAGCTACTGTGCTAGTCACCATAGGATTTAAAAAGATACAGTCAGTGCTCTGTATCCACAGATTCCACATCCACAGATTCAACAAACCATGGATTGAAAATATTAAAAGAAAAAAAAAAAAGTTCTGTCGCTGACCTGTACTGTGTGGTTAGGTGTACGATGGTTGCACCTGTACTGAGCTTGTATGGACTGTCTCTTCTTGTCATTAGTCCCCAAGCAATACAGAGGGCCGACTACACGACTTAGTCTTGGCTCTTGAGGCGCTTAGGTCTAATATGGGAGCTTATAAAAAAAAAAGGGGGGAGTCACCTGAGCCTTGCAGGAGTACTCTGCAGTTAAAACAAAACTGCTATAAGAACCAGACTATATTTTTAGATTTTAGTTTTAAATTTAAAAAAACCCTAAACATTCTTCAGATGATGAAGAACTAGTATGTACAATACAAACAAAGCCTATGAAAAGTCTGACTTTGATTTTCTCACTAGCATATTATCACAGCCATTATCATTTCAAAGCTCAGGATGTACACAAATTCCCCCAGTTTCTAATTGTGAAATTGGACAGCTGGGGCAAGGGCAACAACGGTATACCAAACCAAAGAATACAAGGTCAACTCTCATGGGGGTAAATTTCAGGCCTACCGAGTAGATTTAGGGTAGGTCAAGTTACCTGTGGTCACATCAAATGTAGGAAGAGTGCTTATTGTGACAGGAAGTAGAGCCCACTGTGAAGAGGGAAGACTTAGGCACATAAATACGGCGATAAGCATGTAGAACAAAATGGTAATTCAACAGCAACAGTCCGTAACTTATTAGTTAAAAAAAATGTCCAAATCATTTGGAATTCAGAATTCATTTTTCCACAAGAATGAGAAACGTAATGGTAGTTTAATTTCAAGCTTTTGTGGCCTTATTTTAAAATAACTGAAGAATAGTACTGCATTAGTATATCGATCATATCCAACTGTCTAAGTAAAAATGCAGTCGAGTGTCAAGTTTCAACCTCAGGAGAACAGATTTTTCCTCAATGAACCAGGAACCCCCTAGGTAAGCAGAGCATGGTAGGTACCAGTTGAAATCAATAGTAGAGGTTCCTATGTCCTATGACAAATCACCTGACATATAATTACTTTAAGAACTATGCAGAATTATACATTTTAACAACCTATTTTAGGATCAAGATATAAACTAACTTTCCATGCAGGAAACAAACTCCAGATGATGGATGATTTAATAGAGGAGAATGTTTTTAAACTTATAATTCTCCATGAAATTCTAATTTCATTTTTAAAAGGAAAAAAATCCCTTAAAACCCAGTGGTATAAGAAGTTCTAAATGTTTAACACAGGATTTTCATAATAATGTATTTGTAATAAACTTTTAAATGTAAAATTTAGACAAAATTGTTAGAGAAAAATCACTCAGGATGGAGACAGGAGCTACATTCTATGATTTACCACGATATACAAATGCTCACAGCAGCATTAGTCACAACAGCCAAAAGGTGGAAATAACCCACATCTCATCAGCGGATGAGGGAATAAATAAAATGTGGTATCTCCACACAATGGTGCACCTCAGTCATAAACAGGCATGAAGTACTGAGACACGCTACATCGTGGATGAACCTTGAAAACATTATGCTAAGTGAAACTAGTCAGTCACAAAAGGCCACGTACTGTATGATTTTATTTCTATGAAATGTCCAAAATAAGCACATCCTTAGACACAGAAAGTAGATTAGTGGTTGCCAAGGGCCGAGGGAGGGGGAATGGGAAGTGACTGTCGAATGAGTATGGGGCTTCTTTTTGGGGTGATGAAAACATCCAGGAATTAGATAGTGCTAATGTTGCGCAACCGGAATGTCCTAAAAGCCACTAAACTGTGCACTTTAAATGCCTAAAATGGTGAATGCCATGTGAATTTTATCGCAGTTTTTTGAAAACGGTCCCATCAGGCTTTATTTTCTT